ACTATAGCTGATTTGGAGAATTTTCTCAGTCAATAGTTTTTGCCTTAATTATTCATTCTAGCTTTGGGATAGATATTGAACACAAACTGGTTTATTTTCAGATAGAAAATTAACTTATCTTTGCCCTTTTCATATAAATTATAGCTGGTTATAGAGAAACTCAATAGTCAAAATATATCTTTTGGCAAAATGTATAAAATTAGCAACACCATAAACTGCAAGAAAGAATGTGGAATTAATATGCAAGAAAATATAAAACTCTAAAATGAATATATTTTGGATGGAATTTTATTAATACCAACCGAACAAAGGTGTCAGATGGTTATTATCTAGAACACCTTATAGTGGACCTGTCATGGATTAAAAATTGCTTTGAGTGTAGCATATATTAATTTATACATTCTGCTGACAACATTGTCAGTTAATGTATAAATTAAAGATGTTGGTTCATGAAGATAATTTCTCCCTTCACCACCACTGTGAATATAATGAAACGAATCACTTGGACCCTCAATTTTCCACAGGCATTCAGTGGATGACCACACAGGCATTTCTTTATACTACAGGAGGGGTTGTTGCAGTGAGGGTTTATAAAACCTGTGGATGGGACATTGTTTAACATTTCTCAAACTGCTCCCTATAAAGTATGTTGGACCAACACATATCATGTGCTGTTGGCGATGTAGTCTCCTGGACTTGTGTTCCAGATCCATGCATAATCCAAGGCAAGCGGCTAAATAAGGCAGCAACTCCAAAGAAATTTTAATATATCTTTAATCCATTATCAAACAAACTGACCTGGCTATGTTTTGACTTTAGAGGAACACTCAAATCCCTAAGGCACTTTAGATTGCTGGAGTGTTTTATGTGTAAAGCGTGTGTCCTCTTTTTTTCATTTTACAAAAAGTGCAGATTTCAATAGAAATTGGCACTTTTATAAATGAACCTTGTTACACCCACCCGGCTTTTAAAATTGCCATTCTGTTTTGTTAGATCCGTGAGATCACAATGTATCTTCTACAAGATTTCTTGAACTGTTCTACTGCATTAAATGGACAAAACTGGGAGAAAATGGACTCCTGGGTAAAAAGGAACTAGGTGGCTATAGAGCAGACATATGTTCCCTGTCATCCGACATGTGAGTTTAAAGAAGGATCTATATCAACAGATTTCACCAGGTGAACATTCAAGAAAGCACAGTGACTTTCCTGGCTCCAAGAGGCATCTTTCATTGCTTTGAACAAATACATTGGTTATACTACCACCAGTGCATATAGTGGAGCGCTAAAGTGATATAAATACCAGTACACTTACCCTTATACAATAAGGGATGCCAGATAAATAACTATAATACAAAAGAGAGCACTATATGGTGCAATAAGGTCTTAAGACTAAAATGTGACTTGCGGTGTCTCACTCACAAGTGTAGAGCCAAATGGGATAGGCTTAGATCATTTTTACTAGATTTACTTTTAAAGTGACTCAGTGCATAATTGTATAAATGAACTGCTCACCTTCTTTAGGAGCCTCAATACTTGGCTCCGAGTAGAAGAACCCTGTGTCACTTAAGGTGGACACTACCCTTCATTGATGATGAACTAGTTTCTGAAGATGGCACCAGACAGTATTAGCAAAAAAATCAGTAAATATTTATTTTGACAAATAAAACTATAAAACAATAAAAACAATATATGTAAAAGTCTAAGGTACGGAATCCTCCTGAGATGGGTTTTGCCATTTTCTAAAGTTTTTTCAATCAGATCTAAAGTGTGGAGTCAAATGCGATAGGCTCAGATCACTTCAGCAGTAAATATTTAGCAGTACATATTTATTTTGATAAATAATACTAGAAAACAGAAACAATATATGTAAGTGCTGGATCGTCCGGAGATGCGTTTCGCTGTGTTTTAAGGGTTTTTCAATCAGATCTGAAAATATATATTGTTTCTATTGTTTTATAGTATTATTTGTCAAAATAAATATTTACAGATTTTTTTTGCTAATATTGTCTGGTGTCATCTTCCGAATCTATTTCATCATCAAAGTAGGGTAGTGTCCACCTTAAGTGACACAGGGTTCTTCTACTCGGAGCCAAGTATTGAGGCTCCTAAAGAAGGTGAGCAGTTCATTTATATGATTATGCACTGAGTCACTTTAAAAGTTCCTGACATACTTCACAGAAGCTTTTTGCTTCCCCCTGTTTTATTGTCACCATTTTTGAGTGTACCCAAAATAAAGACAAGAGGAAGGATAGGGTCACCATAGAACACAACTGCTGAAGTGATCTGAGCCTATCCCATTTGGTTCTACACGTGTGAGTGAGACACCACTTATCACTTGTCACATTTTAGTCTTAAGACTTTATTGCACCATATAGTGCTCTCTTTTGTATTATAGTTATTTATCTGGCATCCCTTATTGTATAAGGGTAAGTGTACTGGTATTTATATCACTTTAGCGCTCCACTATATGCACTGGTGGTAGCATAACCACTTAGTTCATTTGTTCATATTATCTTATGTTGTGTGTAGTTTTGGAGGAACTCACATAAGTGCGGTAGCAGCTTGTACATTTATATTATTCATCCTAAGCACAAGAATAGACAGATTTTCCTTTTTTTAATCTTTCATTGCTTTGCTTGAGATAATCTGTTTGAGGTTTTTATGGTGCTGTTCAAAGCTAACTTCTACAAGCCTTGCAGTGAACTCAGTCCTGGTCTTCATTCCCCCCTTTGGCCATTTGGGGGTTACCTGCCTCTTTTGTCTTGTTTACACTGACTAGCTCCATAGTTTACCTACATAGTGGTTAACTCTAAATTCTCCCCTGGGATGACCACACAAACATTTGTCCTCTGAGACTGATTCCATGGTGGTGGAAATTGATCAACCCAATAATTTACTTTCACATTTCACAAAGCACCATTGTGATGTCAATAAACCCCTTATCCTATCTGAACTGTCTGAGAGATTGCTACCTGTGGCTGGCCGGGAGAATCACGGAGGGAGTAATTAAAGACAAAAAATGCTGAAAGTGTTACTTCATTTGGTCTTACATTACTCTAGATCTCAGTAACACGAAAGGATCATTTTCAGCACAGATATATAGCTCAACAAGAAATCAAACCAGAGACTCCAAGTACTTAAAGTGCTACACAACTTGAGAAATGGGTTCCTACTCTTTTTTTTCTCTTACCTTTTCTACCAGCAGTTATTATTTTCTGCCTTTTTGTTTACTCACTTATCACAGAACTCCCTTTCAGTAATGTCCTGGTAATCTGGCCCATGGGATTTTTTATGTATTGGCACTGGCTGAACTTGTTTTGCACTAGATCCTAGTGACCAACTGACTGCCTCCTACTATGCTCTCCTTTTTACTACTGATCTTTACATGTTGAGCATTACATACCTTCATGTTTTCTGTCACTGGCTATGATTTGATGGACCACTTCATGGTGGTACTTTTGTAGTTATTCTGGTTGATGTTTAATTTGCAAAAATGGTGTTTGAGAATTGTAGAATTCAATTTTATCTGTCTATTAAATATATATTTTTTGCTAGTTTGCACTGAATGCTAATTTATAGTAATGAGGTAACAATTAATGTGTATTTGTAACTCTACAGTCTCTGGTTAAATGTCATATACTTCATATTCATCTAGGCTGCAGCTGAAGTTGCTGTGATATCCTCATTGTACAAATATAGCTTAATTCCTTCTCTATCTCTTTCCGTTTCTTTCTGAAGTGTCTCTCATAACTGTATATCATGTGTCTAAAAAAAATATCTTGGCCACTGACCTCCTCAATATCACGGGGTACAGTACCATCCAAGATTAGCACGTTACTACTGTGTGTTGTGTTTCTATTTCTTCGTAAGTTTTATTTATATTCATCAACATTTCTTTCCTTTCTTCTGCCTTTTTCTTTCATTCAAGCATTCTCCATAATATCGCACTCCTTGTCTTGTCTTTGATTTTGCAATTACCACATTAATGTATTATTACAATATGAACATTCTATTAGCATTAGCTATTAGCATTCATACATTATCTGCCAGGAACAATGATACCTTATTGCATTGCTGCTCATTTAAAAATAATAAGATAAGATTCTTGCTCACATCTATATATATATATATATATATATATATACACATATATTATATATACATACATTCTTATATATATATATATATATATATATATATATATATGTATATATATATATATATATATATACATATATACATACATATATAAAACCAAAAATGAGAAAATACGGCACTCTGCCAAAATAAATCACATAAAATCTACCTCAATTAACCCATGGTGCTGCACGGTGCTGAAACTATGTAGAAATCAAAAAAGATGAGAGCACATGCTGGATTTAGTGAAAAATAAAATGTGCATAAATTCAACCGTTTTTACCAGAAAAGGTCTTTATCGAGATGCTGAAATCAATCAAGTGCAATATATTTACAAGATAAGATTCTTGCTCACTTATTTTTCTGATGTTTTCCGTCACCATGGCAATAGGACGCCATTCACTGTGGTACGTCCTGATGCCTTATGTGATCACATTTGCACATCATCACGCATGCAAGGGTTTCCCAATCAGTAGATCGATGTGAGGGACTGGAGGCTTGTAGAATCACCTGTACCTGGATAGCCTATTTACATTATTGTTTATAAATATATTGCACTTGATTGATTTCAGCATCTTGATAAAGACCTTTTTTGGTCGAAACGTTGACTGAATTTATGCACATTTGAATACACAGATTTGATTTTCTTCACTATATCCAGTGAATGCTCTCTCTTTTAAATAAAGGCTTTTATTAGGCACCACTATTATTTCACCTGATACAAATTTTATTGTAGTATTTCAGGCTCCCATGATATGTATCAAGGGTAGTGATGTCCCGAATGGTTTGCGAACGGTTCGCCACGAACGGTTCACCGCGGACTCATCATTGAGTAAACTTTGACCCTGTACCTCACAGTCAGCAGACACATTCCAGCCAATCAGCAGCAGACCCTCCCTCCCAGACCCTCCCACCTCCTGGACAGCATCCATTTTACATTCATTGTGAAGCTGCATTCTTAGTGAGCTGTCCAGGAGGTGGAAGGGTCTGGGAGGGAGGGTCTACTGCTGATTGGCTGGAATGTGTCTGCTGACTGTGAGGTACAGGGTCAAAGTTTACTCAATGATGAGTCCGTGGCGAACCGTTCGTGGCGAACAGTTCGCGAACCGTTCGGCGAACCGTTCGGGACATCACTAATCAAGGGTGCTTACTGGTTTTTCTATATCAAGGTTTAAAGATTAAAAAATACAAATGTAAATGACAATCTGAAGCATATTTGGCTGTTTGTAATGATTAAGTTGTTTTTTTTATTGCTATTTCATCCCCATTAATTATATAATTACCTTACACGTGACACCTGCTACCCCTGGGACTGCGCTGATTGTCATGTTATCCTCTCCACAGTGAGGTGTGTTAAATGAACATACAATATTGCTGAGTCAAATGTCAGATGTAAGGGTTTATTTACTAACCATAAATTGTAGTGAGTATACAAGTTACATCTTCCAATAAGTAATGTTTGGGAAAAAATATTAATACAACTGGAGAGAGAGTATTTTCAAAGCTCAGTTATTTCCTTTAATTTTAAGAGTAGCTTGTCAAAGCACTAAAGATCGTAATCCCTTTAATATGATATGTTGTGAACTTCAGCAATTCTGAATTGTGCAAATTACGACAGATAGTATAGTCTACATCAGGTGTTTGCAACCTTTAGCACTCCAGATGTTTTGAACTACATATCTCCTGATGCTTTGCCAGCATTATGGCTATAGAGTAGAGAATCATAGGAGATGTAGTTCACAATACCTGGAATGTCGAATGTTGCCTAACCTTGGTCTACGTCATCTTCGTCATCTTACAGTATGTCCCTAATAACCCTAATATCTCCCCTACCAATGTTCTCTCAAACCCTCTACTCAAACCTGTCATGTGTTCCCGTTATACCATAATGGAAGGTACTTAAAAGTCCTGCCTGAAAATAATTTTTAATAGTGCACACCTATGTACCAATACATGCACCCATCTCACTGCACATGCATCCATCAAATTATCCCATTCAGATTTGGGAACTGTTATTTTTTCGGATTGTATTTGTTACTTTCTGACAGTTGGGTGCTTTTCAATTAAAGGAACACTATAGTGTCAGAAATACAAACATGTATTCCAGACACTACAGGTGTAAAACACCATTAAGCTCCCTGGCTTCCCTTGCCCCCATTAACAAAGTAGTTTACTTACCATTTTCCAGTGCCACATGGGTCTCCTAGTGGCTGATTCTGCCCCTGCTCTGCCTCCTTGTCTAAGATCATCAAAATTGACAATCTCAGTTAATCGGATGTTCTCCTATAGGAAAGCATTGGTAGGCTAATCCGCAAGAGCATCAAGATGCAGTGGTGCACCAATCAGCATCTCCTCATTGAGATGCATTGAATCCATGAGGATTGTTCAGTGCCTCCATGCAGTGTGTGGAGATACTGAACATCATCACTGACCCAGGAAGCACCTCTAGTGGCTTTCTGAGTGACTGCCACCTCCTAGGCAGTAATGTAAACACTGCCTTTTCTTTGAATTGGCAGTGCTTAAATTAACATATCTGCAGGGACAGGCTATAGATACCAGAACCACTTCATTAAGTTGTAGGTGTCCTGGTGACCATAGCGTCCCTTTAAGAATTACAATCAAAATTGTATATGCACCTTAACATTGCTTAATATTGCTTTGGTGGCTACATAAAATATCAGGCTTGTTTAAGTCTTATTAAAATACATAATGCTTCAGCAGTAAGCTGCAAGAACAAAAACCATATACAAGCAACCTGGGTGGTGATATATAAAACTTATAAAAGGTTTACAGAACAAGTTAACAAGTTTCACGTCACACTGTACATTTCTTGGCAGGTCAACTTGGTACTGAGTTTAAGAGCAAATATGTATATATATATATTTATTTTTTTATTATTATTATTTTTATTTTTTTCTTTCACATTTTTTTTCCATTGGATTGCCTGAAAGAAAGAAACCTGCATCACCAGACACAAACCGCAACATAACTGCAAGTTATCCCAAGTTAAGGATTCATTATAATTACAACTCTAGTACCATTCTATTCTAAGAAAATTTGCCCAGGACATTATACTCATTTCTTCATACAATTTCTTTCTATTTGACTCAGCTCCATATGATTAATGCCCAATGTACATCTCTATAACCATACACTAAGTATGAATGAGGCTGCAGTAAAGCAGTGATATTTAATGTTCTTCTCATAATATAACTGTTGAAAGAACTAGGAGTTTTGTTATTCACTACTATTGAATAAGAAGTTATATATTCAAATGTCTTCCATGTATTGTGCTAGGCGTAAATTATTTAAATAATGTCCACCTTCCATCAGTCTGTGCTAACCAACACCAATTCTTGGCATTAAAAAAAACAAACATAGAAATTCCAAAAAAATCTTTATAACCAAAGAGTACAGCTAGAGCCACCAGGAAACATAGGAATCTTCCATTTCACTGGTCACGATTCAGGTGCTGGTGGCACCACAATTTCGGCCTGTTTCCCATAAAAATATATATTTTTTAATACATGGGCCTTGCATGGGCACCTGCATATAAGGCCAGTTGTGGCTGCCAATAAACATATTCCAGCTTTTACTCTAAGAACTATGTGTCATCTGGTTACTGGGAGGGGAAATGGCTATTCTTTTATCACTGTTCCA